TCTAAGGCAAGAGAGAAGATAAATTGTCAAGAAGGAGAAGAAACAGTAGCACTTGAGGAGCCGGTGATAATGCTGAGTTGATGTAGCTGACTATCCCTGTCCTGATATTTGTCAGTGCTACGAATGTAGAGAGAGAAGATAAAACCCTACATATGCAAAGAAAACTAAATTTCAGGTGTCTGGTCTTGTAGTGGAGTAGAAAATCCTGAGTTGGTAGGTGTCTTCATTCTGTGTAACATTTGAGGTGTGATAGATGGCTTAGGTTTCACACAAGCCAGAATTCAGTGGTAGTCCTCAAGTCAGCTTATCATACTATCTGTGCGTGTTCTGAATGTTTGGCTCTACAGTGTCACGAATGTGACATATGAGTATTTGCAAGGGAAAGATTAAAATAAGTGTTCTTTCTCTCCTGTGAAAACTAGGATATCTAGTGTTAGTGATTATATTCTACATGAAAGATACAATTTAAAATGAAGTTTTCGGTGCAACTACTCTGTAGCTGCCAAATATAAGTAAAAATGACCATGTTGCTATTTATGCTTCAGTACTTCAGCAGACTGCCTAGCTTGTTTCAGTGTAGTGTAAGTTAATGGAAAATCTGAAGAGAATGAAAAGGAAACAAAGTCTGCCAAAAGATAATAATATTTGTTCAAAGAGATGTGCTAAAGAATTTCTTTATATACTGAAGCCAGTATAAATACTGCTTGTAGTTCTGAGGATTTTGTGGCTGTTGCCGAAATTGTCAATTTAGAAGCAGCTGTGGATTTTTTCCTTGAGCTATGATTATATGGTGACGAAATTTGTGTTCTCTGTTCTAAACAGGTGTTAACCACCAAATCATTATATAGTATACATGATTGAGTATGTCAGTTTCCAGTGGAGAAACAACTTGTTCTTGAATACGCGGAGTAAGTTTGTTAGAATTAATTCAGACTAACTCGGTTGAAAATGAGGTCTGCTGCATTTCAGAGATTTGTCATTTCTGATGCTTTTCCTCCCCGCCCCCAGCTTTTCAAGTGGTGAAATCTCAGCTATAAATCATTTGCCAGAGAAGAAATTGATTATGAAACAGAGGTTATATTAAACTCTTGGCTGCTGCTAGAGTTTCAAGTGACTTCCCATTTCTGTGGCTTCCTGTGGTCAGATGAAAACATAAAATTTCTGTGTTCAGTTTCATTTTAATTCTGAAGCTTTTGAAAGTGGTTATAACAATTCTGAGTAAAAGACTGGAATTATTGATACCTGTTTTTTGCTTTATAGCTCCCACTATCAAAAGCCTTAATGCTTTGGGAACAATGCCTGTTTAAATGTTGGTTTTCAGTTTGGAAGTTGGTTAATACGTTCATTTTAAGTAAGTCTTCAGTGATATTGGAATAAACTCATTGAGAAAATTTTATGCTAGTTGGAATTCTGTAAGTTCTGAAATGCAGGGTTTTTAATTCTTATAGCAGCAATTTAAGTACCAGTTTAACAATTCTAGAAATGAAATATAAGCTCTTGTTAAATACGTTTTTTGGTTAAATAAGAGAAAGCTTTGTGTCAGTTCTCAGATTGTTACATTTTAGTGAAACTAACCTGGATTTGAATCAAATTATCCATTTTTAACTATCTTGTTTATAACTACTCAACTACATCTTGCAAGTAAATACCTCAAGGTGTGGGTAATACAGGTGTAATTGGTAGAAACAGTACTTACAAGTCCACTTGTGACATTCCCTGATGCTGTTGAGGAGTTTTTCATTACTTTGCAATGAAGTAGTAGGACTTTTGGGTGTATATAGAAGTTGCCCAGGTCTCTGATACCATACTTGTCTTCATTTTTTTCATTATCTCACTGGGGGTAGTCAGTAGAACAATATTTACTAGTTTGTTGTCACACCGTGTGCTCAGTAACTGCACCTTTGAGTTGTCAGATTTCTCATTGCTGAAGGATGCACCATTTCATTTCCAAATGCTATAGTTAATCTCATAACTAGCACATAGTACTGTATAGATGCATTTTTGTATTTTTTATGTTAGGTACAGATTTCTAATTTTTTTGCTTTCTAGATGCTTTCTTATAAAAAACACGTAAAAGAACTGTTTTTATACACGTTTTAAATGATGTGAATAATCTTGTAAGTGTTCTAAGGAGCTGCACATAATTTTTATTTCAGTAGCTGAATTCCATAAACAGAATGAATAGGCAGCAAATTTACAGACATGAAGAAAACATTTAAGAGGGGTGCTGCAATTAAAAAAAACCAAACCACAAAAAAACTAAACAAAACCAGAGTAGATTTTTCTTTCAAGTTACCATGATGCTCATGAAGAGAGGAAGAAAATGGCATTAAGATTTGGGAAAGATTAGAAAGAGAAGACTGTCATGCTAGATTATAACCTGTTACTGTATTTAATACCTAATATACGTTTTTCCCCCCACAGAAATTAGCAGAGTACGGAAAGACATGTATAACGACACATTAAATGGTAGTACGGAGAAGAGAAGTGCAGAATTACCAGATGCTGTGGGACCTATTGTACAGTTACAAGAGAAACTATATGTGCCTGTAAAAGAATATCCAGATGTAAGTATATCTTTTTAGTCCCTAAATTATTTTTTGATCCTTGTGGTCGTCTTTAAATGTAAATTTCATGTGATGCTACCCTTGGATCACACTGAATTGTTTTTGACAAGATACTTTTTAGGGAAGCAGTGTATGTTCCACTTGGTGGCTTGATTTGTAGTGAGTGTGAGTGGAAGAAGGTTGCCTTAAATACCAAACTAGTATGGATTATAAAGCTGTAGATCTAAGATCTGAATTATCTTATTCATTCTGTACTGTCAGTCCTGAGACTCTGTAGCGAGTTTTATAAGGGAAGTAGTTCTTGGGACAGTGTTTTTTCCTCTTAGTATGTCTCTAAAAGTCAGTTGGAGAATCCTTAGAGACCTTTTGGAGACTGTACTTAATTACTGTTTGTCCCATACCTGTGTAACCAGTTCTGTCGCATGTAGAAGTGTCTTTATCTTGGGGTTGGGGTTTTTTTCACCTTAAGCAAAGCTCCTTGCTTGCATGCCAATGTTACGTTCTCCATTGGGTGTTCTGTTCTATTATACACCTACCTTTTTGAGGGAGAATGGTTTCGTTTAACTAGAAGAACTATCTGGAACTCCTGTGGTCTGAATGGTTTCTTAAAACAACTTGGGAAAAATAGTCCTGTCAAAATCTACCCCAACGATTTTCATTGATCACTGACAAAATAAGAAATTGTGTTATTCCTCCATAATAGAATTTAGAGGTCATGTTGCAGTGGAGGAGTGCAGGGTCCAAGTGAGGCATTTGCATATTGAAGTGGTATAAAGTAGAAGAAAGTACAGAACAGCAAAAAATGGAAGCAACATTTGTGTATTTCTTTGGCTTTTTTTTGTATCATTAGTTAGATTAAGCTCTCAAAATTGAGCTTTATTATTTTAATGCTGCTTAGAACATACAGACCTCTAAATAAAACCTCATTGTGCCATACTCCATTAAGAAAATTAAGTGCAAGTCGTTATTCAGAACAGAATATTTAGACAAATGTCTCTTCTCCCTTTTCAGTTTTCATGAAGTTGTTTTGTTGCTTTTGGGTTAAAATACCTGTACTGGGAAAAGTGTTCGAAGAATTTGCATTGGCAGTAAGGACATCTCTCTCCCCTTCCCTTCCGTTTTTCTTCCAAGTTAAATATATGCATATGCATATCTATACACATATGTGTACACATATGTACATGCATACATATCCCCACACCAAAAACAGTGTTTCTTCTGAAATTCCTTGGAATTACAGATTTTTGAGAGGAACTGTGCTATGCAATTGTTCCCATAATGTGATGCAAGTAGCTCTGTACTTAGTTACCTGTATATCTCTTAGAGCTATATTACTTACTGGCTTTTTAAAACATAGCTTAGTTGTTGAAATCTCTGTTTTATAACTCAACAATGCATCCTTTGTCAAGAGTTGCCTCAGTTATTGGTTGTAGTTTTTACAGAACTTGATGCTTGCTGTACCAGGATCGTGAGATAGCAGGAAGAAAAAGGGGTTGGACTTCCTGTAATTATTATTAAACTTTTCTTCTAGAAGTCAAGGGTGTAGTAGCTTAGCTCTTCACTGCCAGTTAATTATGAAATATAGTGTAAATAAGCAGGAAGGAGTTTTGTCTCTAGTTACTGTTAAAGCACTTGTGTAACTTTGGGTGTATGATTTCTCTAGTTACTGCTAGCTCTTTGTGTGCCTTCAGAAGAGTGGTCACTAATTTATTTTAATCATGTCCTACAAATTCAGAAGTTGGGGAGACTTGTGATTTGTATACATGTGTCCTGGAATAAAAAGGTAGTTGGTTCTTGTGAGATGATGTGAAATGTTTGCTAGAAGATGTACAGCTTCTACCATTGTGGTGGTACTTGGCAGTTCAAGCTTCATTGGGAAGCCAAGCCCAGCGTTCTCTATGTGCTCCTGCCTGTCCACGTGTTGTCTGTATTTGTTCCTAGCTACTCAGAATGGGATCTGCACAGCCTCAGTAATTGGTTAAGCAACTAGAATATACCGCCACATACAAGAAAAGCTGTGGTTTTGTATGTAGGCCGTTTCTAAGATCTTCTGCGAGTTAGAAATTAAATAACCTCCTTTGCATTCAGGCTAGTACAGCGTTCACAAGGACTGGAGTACAGTGACTCCAGCTTGTCTTAAAAAAACCCTGTAAAATTAACTTGTAAAGATTAATTTCACCTGTAAAGATAATTTCATTGTAATCACACAGTGTTATGTGAAACTTCTTACTCATATCTAGCAATTGATTTAATTGTTATCAGATACAGGGAAGACATGCTGTGCAGACTATCAGAGTAAGTTTGTCAGATAAATCCAGTTAATTCTTTCTATCGCCATCATTCTCTTCCAACTGACAATCTTGTGTACCTTACAAAGACATAAAGATGGATAAACTTAAAACTTATTCAGAGAAGAGTGACCAGAAACTGTTTTCTGATGTAGATTAGATACTATTTTTAATAACAGAAATTAAAAAAAAAAAAAAAAAAATCAACAAACTTTTGGCCCTACCACCATAGGGCCATTTTGTGCACAGAATCCTAAATTAGTTGTAAGGCATGAAAATAATGGTCTGCCATAAGTTTAAGCAAACTTGTGTTTTATATCTGTATAATAAACATACATATATACATATATGTGTAAAAGATGAAACAGTACATTTTCGTAGCCTACATCACTTCGATATTACTGTTTGACTGTCCTTTGAGTACCTTAATAGTTTAGTTTTTTATATGAGTGCATATTGAGTATTTTTATTCTAATTTTTATTCTAAGACCATAGTTGATGCAAGGTGCAACTTTCCAAAAAATCGATTGTCTGAAACAGCCTGTAGTTTTTAAATGCCAACCGTGTAGAGTCTGCATTTCTACTTCTGTAGTAATAAGTGGAAGATATGCAAAAATCTTGCTAAAGAATAACTAGTTTTCTTTTGTATGTTGTATTAATAAGAAGCGTTTTTCCATGATGTAATCACCATCTGAAAATTGTGTAACCGTTGGGGTAGTCTGCTTTCTGGCTCGTTGTTTTTCCATTACAAGTTACAGTGATGCAACTGTGTATGTTTGTGTATATTATTTTCTTCTAGCGCCCTTGGAAGGTGTTAGATCTTTATGGGAATTTTAGTCTTAAAACTGCGATTTGAGCTACTTAGCTGTTCTGAACCATGTATGTACTCCTGAAACTTGAGAGAGAAATTGTGCAGAAGGCACCCAGAAAATTAAATTCCATTAGTTGTCCATAATTTGCCCTTCAGTTAAAAATGTGTTCTCTCTACAGTTAAATCTTTGTATGCTCATTTAAGCCTTTGGTGTGTTAGAGTTTGAAGGCATTTTCAATTCATGGAGAAATATCTTCCATCAGAGTTTAAAAAAGTAGGAAGAAAAGATGTCAGGAAAACCATTGAGCTCTCAGGAAGCAGAAGAATGGAGGATATGCTATTGTTTGTGGGTGAATAGTTAATAGTCTTTAGCATTTCTTATGCTTCAGATAAATGATTAATTTTCTTGAATTTCCCTAAAGAGCTGAGACTAAACTTTCTGTCTGATATCAATTTAAACAGTTTTTGGAATTAGTACCTACAAATGTTGGACTGAATAAATGTTTTCCTATTATAATCATGGCTTTATTATTAATAAGTACCCTGTTAGCTCTGATTAATGTGAAATTCTCTGTTGGAACTCTTCTGCGCCTCTTCAGTAAAAATGTAAGAACTCAATAATTATTGCATCTAAAGTAGCATGTCCTTTGGGTATACTGAAGCTCAAAGGCCAGCAGTGATAAACAGCTTGTGCGTACTTTCCTGACCATTTTAGTTAAAACTGTTTAATTAGTACAACAGAACGATGAACACAGGGATTCATTTTACTATGGGGAACTTACTGACAAAACATTCAAATCCTTTTTCAGTTTGGTAATATCAGAGTTTAACAGCATCCCTAATATGGATTGGGAAAACGATAACATCCTCTTTATTTATTGTTCTGATTCTTTTACTTAAGCTCTTCATTCCCTAGTGGTAAACAGGGAAGGAGGCTAAAAGAGCTGCCTTGTTTACCCTTGCAATAGGAAGGAAAGAGAAAATATAACTGGTCTCTGTAAATAAACTTGGGCTACAGAGTACCAGCAGGGCTGAAGGAATATGTGGCAAAAGGTCAACTACTGATACAAGTACAAATGTATATGAAAGAACTAAAATAGTTCGATTACTAATTTCCAGTCTGAATGAAATATTTGGAAAAACATTCTAGTAGAAGTACTGGGAGCAAAAAAGTTAATTTTGAGTTTGAACTTTATATATTTATGAGAGGCTTTACGTACTCTGGTTGCAAATAGTAAGGGAACGGATTCATTGAGAAAGGTCCCCTTTGTTTAGCTGCTAATAAAACGAAGACATGCCTTAATATTTGTATGAAGCTTTTTTACCCTTTCTGTCTAATGTTTTACTGGATATCCTTCCATTACTGGCCATTGGATTCACCTTTTGAAAGATAAGTTTCTTTTGAGCCCTGATTCACACTCAATAGCTTACATTTTTTTGGTAGCACCTTGCTGAAAGATGACATACATTGTCATAATTTTATTCAGAAATAAGCCTGTCAAATCTCCAGAGCATGTTTGTCCTCAGGGGCAAAAGGATGGAAGACAGTCTAGAATACATTGGAGATAAAGACCCTGTCCTTTAGTCTCTGGCAGTAATCTTGCAGGCTCAGCATCAGCTCAGCAGTACTGATGAACTTGGTCCATATCTCATCCTTGTGAGACTTATTTCTTCCCCATTTAACTCTTCAAGCATTGAGTGCTATTAAGTTAGACAGGTGATTACCTAGTCATTTATCTGTTAATATTCTTATTCCCGTTTCATTCTTACTTTCAAATTTTGTTCTTTAACTATTTGCAGATATTCTGGTGTGTGTGTGTGTGTAAATAAAAAAAAAAAAGGAAGGCAGGGTGGAGGTAAGACAAGTAAAGACTAAGTAAATAGCACTTGCTTTGGCTAGG